CCTCAGTAGCGACCACCAATGCCAGAGAGGCCAAAGCCCCCGGAGTTGATGGGCACTCCTGACTCGCTCAGGATGCTTCCAACAGCAGCAGAGGTGGTGGATCCCACAGCAGTGTTCTGGGGGAAGGAGCTGAGGATGGGTCCAGGCAGAGTCACCACCACAGGAGAAGGCTGGATCACCACCCTGGAGTCCTGGCACTGCCTGACACAGGACTCGTTGCAGCTGTTGGCCAGAGGGGTTGGGCCACAGGGACGGCACAGGTCGTAGCAGGACATGGCTGTGGGTTGGAGATGCACCTGGGAGAGAGGAGAGGGAAAGCACAGGCAGCATGTGAGGCACAGCCTGCTCGGCTGGACACAGCACAGGCTGAGGAGAGGGGACAGCCTGGATCGGAGCAAGAGAGACTTAGGAGCTGCAGTTCCCACTAGAGCCCCACAAACAGAGATGAGACCTTCTCCCACCTCCCTCCAGTGTGGCAAAGAGAAGAGAGAGAAGCACCAAGTGTCACAGCAAACCATAACTGAGGCAAAGCCCCAGTGGAGGCCAAGAGAGAAAGAGAAAAAAAGACACAGAATAGAAGCAGAGGAAGGCACTTGCTACTCACCTGGTTCACCAAGGCGGAGAAGGCAGGAGAAGTGGATGAGGAACCTTCAGCTGGACTGACTTTTATACTGCCCTGGACTGCCCCAGGCCCAGAGACACCCTTTGCGCATGTAAGGTGTTTACCAGCTCATCTCACATGCAAAACATCCCAATTAAAGAAATTAGTGTTTTTATTTTTGCCCTGCAACACTGCCTTTTCATTTCCCTGTCCAGGACATGCCCAGTCAGCCTCACAGGCTCCTTTCAACTGGTGGTATTAGAGGCCAAAATGTTTCCAGGGAATATGATACATCAGCCTGGGTGGATGATGCTGCGAGCGCTGAGGAGTGTCCCACTGGACCAGGTGGTGCCAATCCCTTATCCTCCAGGGCCTCACTTTAAAGTGTTTCTTGATGACTGGGGCTGTGCTGCTCCTAACCCTGAGGCTTCTGCCAGGACATCCACCTGTGAGGGTCGACACCATCTCTTGCTCCCTCTTATGCTCTGCTCACTCACTCTGACTTAGGCATCACCTTTCTAGTCAGGCTCTGCTGCTCTCAGGCTTTAGTGTGTCTCCCTGAGACTGAGCTTTGTTCTCAGTAGAAGTTTACATGATGCTTTTGCTTTCTTCCTTCTCTCCTTCATCACACCCTGCCTTTAACTGCAGATGAAGGCTATTCCCCTTCCAACACTCTTGGCTGAATCACAGAATCCCAGAGTCACTGAGGTTGGAAAAGACCTCCAAGATCATCAAGTTCAATCTGTGACCAATCTCCACTTTGTCAACCAGACCAGAGCACTGAGTGCCACATCCTTGAACACCTTCAGGGATGGTGAGTCCCACATTGCCCTAGGCAGTCCCCATCAGAAATTCCTCCTGATGTCCTACCTCAACCTCTCCTGGCATAGCTTGAGGCAATTTCCTCTTGTTCCATTCTCTGGGAGCAGAGCCTGACCCCACTCAGCTGCACCTCTTGGCAGGGAGCTGGAGAGATCAAGAAGGTCCCCTCTGAACCTCCTTTTCTCCAGACTAAGCCCCCCCAGCTACTCCTCATAGGACCAACTCTCCAGCCCCTTTCCCAGCTCCATTCCCTTCTCTGGACATGCTCCAGTTTCTCAAAGTCTTTCTTGGGTGAGGTGCCCAGAACTGGACGTGGTATAAAGAAGAAGACCTCTCAGAGACTTGGAGTCACACCTGTGCCCAAGGCCCATGCTGGTCAATTGGTACATGTCCTGCTTTCTGCCTGTGGCTGTGCCACAACTTCTGCTTAGGCCATCCAGACTTCTGGGACATGGCCAAATCCTTGGCAGGGTTTCCCACAGGGCACCCTCCTCTGCTCATGAGCCTTTGCACGGACAGAGGGAGGAGCACAGCACAAAAAGTGCCTTCTGCTCTCCCTGAAGCACAAGGAGAGCTGCAGGACCAAAGCATTGCCTGTGTGGGAAGGAGGCACAGAGACGTGAGCGGACAGAAAACAGCTCCTCAGTCTTCTCAGCCTGGAGCCAGGGGAGCCTGGTTGGAAGGATCAAAGGATCACTGCTTGCCACCTCTCCAGACAGTCTGCACAGCAGCTGACTGGGATCTGTGGAGCATTTGAGGCACATCTGCTCCAGGCCCATATCCCTTCAGGGCGATGTGACAGATGGAGAAGGACTCTACAATGCCTAATGCTTCTGACCACATGACAGTTCTGGGCAGGGATAGGATGCCTTTCCTGCTTCCCCTAGCCCTGTGTACATTTCCCAGGACATGTCACTGTCCCTTCAGCTCCTGGGGACTCTCTCTAGTTCCAAGGTTTGGAAGATGAGCTTGGAGGAGGGAGGGGAAAGGACCAATTACAGGTGGTAACATGTAATCATAGCCTTGGGCTGGTGGGAGTTAACCTGCAGAGAAATGTCTTCCAGCAGGTCAATGTTTTGCTTCATCAACTGGAAGGCAATGTCCAACCTCCCTTCTTGCTCACATGTCACCTGAGGCACCTTGTGGTCTCCCTTTGCATACCCACACAGTACCACAACCCCCAGCTACACATCCCCAACTGCCCCATGTCCCCTCCAATGACCATTGCCTTTGGGTGTGCTCAGCACATCCAGATGTGTGGAAGGTCCATCACTGGCCCTTAACCACCCACCCAATTCCCCTCCAAGGCATCCCATTTCCCATGGAGCAGCTTGGCCGCACATCCCAGCAGGGAAGGAACTCGAGGAGACTCAAGATACAATGCAACATA